TTTTTTTTTTCTGGAGAAGAGAAGGCAATATTTCAAGACCCCTGGCACAGAAAGTTTTTAAAACATGGTTAGCAAATCCTTATTCTCATGTCACTATGGGCAATGAAGCAGTTTCTCTCTACTTTCCCTCCATTTGCACCTCTTTCTTTTCTCCCCATCTTTTCTCCAACTCTTTGTCTCCTTTTAGCCTTCTTTCTTTCTTTTCTGCGTGTGCCTTGTGCTTGCTCTGGGCTCCAAGGTCATCCTAGCTTGAAGCAACATGCGAGTCCAGAATTGAGGGCATCCAACTCAACCGATGATCGTTTGTATTATTAATTTCCTCAAGTCATAGTTGAAATGGCATCCTTGGGTACATTTTCAAAATCCTTCCCTAAGCCTAGTTGTATTTGTGAATGATTCTGAAAGGAGAATCTCAGCCTGCTATATGTATGCCAGTGTTCTATTTCAATGGGACATTAAGACAACTAGGACAACACCCCTACCAGACCTGTTGAAAAAAAGACAAACATGTCACTACAGTCATTTCGCATCTCTGATTTCAAAGGCCATAAGGATGACAGTTGTTACATACCCTACTGCAGCTTTGACTTGCTGGGGGGAATTTGCTAAGCTGCGTGAAATCAACAATGCTGACTTTCAAACTTCCTTCTTCTAAATCCTTTACTTTTTAAACTATTAAGAGCATGATCTTGCAATCTGTTTTTGAGCTAAGAATTTTTACTAAGGAAACATGCCAATGGATATTTGGAGGCATGCTGAGGTGTCCAATCAATAAAGTTAGTTTTCTAGTTAAGTCAGGGAGGAGATTAAAAAGATTTCTGAAGTATCACATGGACCCCATTCCTCTAGATTTTTTTTTTACAAGCTAAACTTCTAGTTTCTTATTTGTTTATCTGAATGTTTTAAAGTCTCCCTTAGTGATGATGTTCTTCACATCATTCTCAAACAGCCTCATTTTCTCCATAATTTTCCTCTTACCTCAAATTCTCCATCTTTCTAGCAGATCAGATTCCAGATCTCAGCCATGTGGCTGATTTGTAACGAAATCCTATTTTGCATGCTCTTTGATCTAGTACTTCCACTCAGTTATTTCTTTATACTGGCATGTGCAAATATTTAGGCATAAAGGTGGCCATTGGTGCATCAATAATGAGATGAAAATTGGAAATGAAGACATTTGTTGAATAAATTATGAACATAGATGAAATGGAATATTATGCAGTCATTTAAAATGATGTAAAAGATTAATGACATCTTAATATCCCTAATGTATTATTTAGCATAGATAAAAAGAGTTATAGATAGTATCATACCATTTTATTAAAAATAGGTCCTTAGGATTTTTTTTCCAAAGACTTAGTATATACATTGAAATGTAAACAATGTTGTCTCTGAATGATAGGATTAGAGGTGACTTTTATCTTTCTAATATTTTATTTTTTTGCTTTCCTATTTTGTAAAGTTTTTTTGTTTTTGTTTTTGTTTTTTTTTTTAGCTGAGCCATCCTGCCACCTGTTGGCAGCTCAGCGGCTGCTCAGCTTGGGCCAGGACTCGAACCACTATTGCTCAGAACTCAAACTCTTGAGCGAGCTCTTAACCAACTGAGCCACTCAGCCGGCCCTTGCTTTCCTATTTTGTGAATTCTATTTTTTTACTTGTATGTATCTTTTCATATATATATACATATATATAGTATAATTTAAATTTTCTTTTAAAATTAAACTATCCTCTTATTAAGGTATAATTGGCCTTTCTTCAAGAAGTGAGGAGTAAACTAAGGAAGGAATGAGAGAACTTGCAGAGGGTTCAAAGGTTAGTCACAAAAATGTTTTGGGCATGATGGGTGAGTGGAAGTGGGGTTGGGAAGAAGAGGAGAGAAGGAGAAAAAAGTCAAGCTAAAAGGTCTGGGTTATTCAGTTCTATCAAGAAGGCTGAGGAGAGATTTGGTCAATCTTTGGGTCCATAAAGGCATTCTCATAAAGCAGGGGGGTTTGTCTTTCTACAGTGACTCAACAAAAGAAGTGGCTTCAAAGTCTGGTATTAGGAATCTGGGGGGTGGGGGAGGGGGGTTCCTTTAGGAAGTACTAGAAGAGGATACTAAAAGAGTCCTGTAAGGCAGGGGTTTTCATGTGTCTGTGATAGTTTGTTACATGGTAAAGAGAACAGAACCAGTGTTAAGAGCCAAATTTCTGAAGTGGCAAGAGGTCTGGGTAATAGGAAATTATAACTATAACAGGAAATTACTCTAGGGATAAACAAAAATATCCAGGAAAAATTCACTTAAGTTACATGCTCTTTTTAGATTATGGAAGTCAGTGTGCTGACCAGTCTGTACTCATGACAGATCCTGTATCAGATTGTCTCCAGGACACCAAAGGGATCCTTGCTTTTTTTCAAGAGTATCAGAGGTTTGGAGGAGTTTGTAAATCCAACTGGTAATATTACTAGGGAACTTGGATTATACAGAAAGGTTAAGAGAGAAGTACAACTATTTTACCCAAAGAAATTATATTAAAAAAAGAAATAAGATAATACCACCTAACCCCTACCAGGTTCCTGTAAGAGAGTAAAACAATCTTTTTTTTTTTT